TGCAATAAATGAGCTGTTTTTCCGATCGGTTTCAAGCTAAGGGTAATAAACCATTCATCACAAGCGAATTGCATGGTCCCAAGACCTTTCAATTCAATTGAACCTTTTAATTGTGAAAGTCCGAGTTTATGAACAGCCTTTTCACTAATGAACGAAGTCATACTTCATACTATACCGGAATCTAACTAGCATCGAAGAGGTTCAGTATTGCCACGGGCAGTAACCACCCAAGCGGTGCAAAGAAATACACCCTGATTCTGTGCCATTACGCCAGCACCAGCGAAAATCGAGGAAGTCGAATTACTATTAACAATCAGCGAATTTTGCGAAGGCGTAATATTAGCGGAGCTCCCGGAAATTTTGACAGCGGGCACATGACAACGGCGGTAAGCTCAGGTTTTGCGGCATGTAATAGAGTATGATGATATTTCGCCTGTGAGCGGCAAGATCGAAGATCGTGAGAAGCACTGAGAAAATTAAAATAGAGACACAAACTTCTGAAAATGTGAAACGTTCATTTGTTCACGAATATTTTGAAGAGCAGAATTAATGGTAGTCGGAACAGAGTGTCCAGCACGGTACAGTGATTTTGCAAAAATTCAATCAATTTTCTGTACTTGGGTATTTCGCCAGAGCCATGATCGAGTTCAATGTGACAATGGATTTTATCCAAACGTTGAAGCATCATCATAACTGAAATGAAGTCCCACTCTTCTGTAGAAAATGCCAAGATCTGCAAGGCTGCCAAATTATCCGAGAAAGTATCGAGCAGTTTTCGCAACGAATCAGCATTTTCGGAGTTTGCTTTCGGGCAATTTTGAATTTCTGACCAATGAGCTTGCGCGCGAAGTCGTTTATTCGAGAAGCGGTCAACTAATGTTTGATGAGCAAATAAACCAAATATCAGTGGTTAACGGTAAAGTGCGTAGGTACTAGGGTTAGGGGTTGTCCCTGCAGTGACGAAATCAGGTAATTGAATTTGTTCAACTTCACTCAGTGAATTATTGGTATGCACCAAAAAAATCTATGTAAGTCACAAATGACTTGTAATGACCCATGAATTCTTGTATTTCAATTTTTGACAACCGTATATGATTATGATTTGATGCAATAGAATTCGCGGTATAGTTCTGAATAGAATGACCCTGTGACGGATCATCGTATAATTCGGCATTTACGGCATTGGTTGCATAATATTCCTATAATATTCCAGGAAACCCTCGTGTAGCACATTTTCATCTTCTTCATCTGCCTGCGGATCAGTCTGAAGAGTAGTGACAACATTGTTATGTTGACGAATGAAAGCATCATAGACATCTGTAGGTCAGCACATCTGACACGAAACAGAGTTCGAACAGATTCATCGGTTTTTGCTTGATTTGCGATGAGTTTTACACTTTTTCGATTTTTCCATTGTTACAATCGATTGATAAATAAATACCTATCACGAATATACCTAGACTATGAATAATCAAACAGCTGATTTCGGTCTGACTTTGACGAACCTAAGCAAAAATGGAATTGACGAACCTTGTCCTTAGCGCTATCAACATCATGTGCTAAACTACATATTGACCCATATTGAAAATATTTGAGGTTTGAAGTGAACCAAAAGATGAGAATGTCACGTGATCGAATCAAAATAATGAAATGGTGACGAATTGCGACCAGTGCGGTCATCTCCCCTCTGCAGGAATAAAATACTGATAACGCTTCCAAAATGCCTAATTAATTTATGCAAATTTTGAATATAAATTGAATTCAATCAATGTGAAAGGAGGAAAATGGGTAACCCATTAATTACAGGCTATTTTAGCAGCGCAATAGAGTAACTCTGGTTTGCGGAATCAATTTAGCGTTGGCGCGAGCTTGAGCACTTGAATGAAATATAATTTTCTGCGATTTAATCGATTTCGGAAATTAAGTTTTTGATTTATCCAGCTTGAAGGATCAATGATTATTCTCTATAACTCTTAAGTGGTTGTGAAAATGGACTGTATATGAAATTAATAAAGAATTAACATTTGGTATTGGATATAAAGCGATAGCACTAAACGAACTTACTACTGATGAATGGCCGCCATAATCGATAGTTCATCTTCACAGCTGGTGAAAGGGCTCTTTCTGTGATGGTATGCTGCTCAGCGCCTTCTCAATCCTCCAAAACTCTAGTTATTCCAGAAGTGTCACTTTCCGGGATAAACAAGCAGGATTACCTGCTTGACGATGACAATGGGGGTTCGCAAGCGTTGCATCTGAACATGTTAGGGCTGATTTCAGCTACTTCTGAAGGGTGATATTTTCCATATGGCTCAGAAAAATCATCCACCCCCCAGTAGCGAATTCATTTCAGCTAAAGTCTCCACTCTGTATATAGAAACAATTTTAAAGAAATTCAATGTAGATGATTGTTAATCTGTCAGCACTCCTCTTCCAAGTAATCTATAGTAGAAGTCGAAAATGGTGTAATAAAGTTGAAATTTCCTTCCAAAGGTGATCAAATAGTTGATTTGTTGACCAAACCATTTCAATTTCAAGACTTCCGAACTGGAATGGGTCTTGAACAAATTATTAGTAAATTTGTTCAATGGTCTGATTAGGTTTTAGTGGGTTTTCCTAATCCTGAGCAACAAATGTTGGACCATATTATACCCCAGAAATACACGAGGAGAGCATATCCTTTGTTTCTCTCTGAAGTGTTGCTAGTTTTTATTACTTTTAGAAAAATAGTGTACGACATATACGAAGGTATTATATCTTGTTTGTTTTATGAATTCATTTTTGAGGGTGCGTGTTGGATATATACAGTCGACTGTTCATGTAGACAAAAATGAAATATGAACCAATGTAAGTACTTAATTATTATCGTTGAATATCTAGAAATGTCGACAGTGCACCTGACGAGGGCCACCATCAAATTTGTTCATTCAAAATAAATGAAAGCTCTTTGTATGGTATTGATGAGGAGAGACTGCTTATAATACGGCATATACTCGTTTGGATAGAGACTTTTTCTATATGATGATTCTTACATCGGCGTGCTTCCCGAGTGGATCTGATTTGAAGAGAATATACAGTTCAAAATTGTAACACACGGACTTGTTATTTCCATAATCAATATCCATTATATATACTATATTGATTAGATACTTCTTCTATTCCTTATATGTATTATAATTTATATATTATTATTCATTTGTTCTTTTTAGGTACCTACGTTCCATATGTCGCATAAGTGAATTAGTGTTAGTATCTGTTTTCGCCTTATATCGTCATAAAAACATTACGAATGAGAATTTTTCAAATTTTACTTTACATCGATAATTTAACGTTTTAGTGTTTAGTTAGCATTTATGGAGATACTATGTACAAAGTATTGAATGTCATTTCGAAGGGATAACAATTACAAATTTAAAGAAATGATAAAATACGGGGGGGGGTGTTCCATTGAAATTATATAAGTTTGTGTTGTATATCCAAAACCAAACCCCGAAAAAACAAGATTGAGTACACCACATATACATAGTTCTCAGCGCAACATAACTTCACATAGTTTCGTAGATATAGAAGGGGTCCAAAAAGTAATAGAAGGTGTCCAAAAAGTATGAATTTTCAAACTCGTCCTGTATTTCATAAACGGAAACAGTTATGCAAATTCTGATTCGGCCATCATGTTTCACAAAAAAGTAGGACAGGAAAGTGAAATCCGCAAAACCCTATCATCTATGAATATCAATCGAGAAATCTAGCAGTCTCAACCAAAATGGGACGCACTGTACATACATCAGATGACTATCGACTTGTACCATCCAAAATGTAATCATCACAATACACACTAATTGAAAACATATAAAAGTTTATAATTAGAAAGAGGTAGATACTGAATGATATATAAATTCAAAATGAATCTCATTTAGGTGTCTAGGGTCAAGGGACATTAAAACCTGAGTCCTTGGTTAATTCGACAGTGTACCATTTGGGGAATATGTTGTGGTCAAAATGGTAGATTCATCATTCTTGATTTAGATTGACCCCATGTTATTATAAACTTTTTGTTGTATCAAGTGGGTAATGATTTGCAATCTTCGCACTGGTGTTTTTTTGTACATAACTTAAGTGTTACAATAATAGGTAAATACTTCGGAAAATACCTAAGTATATAGTGCCTATAGAAGATCTGACGTTTGATGCTTTTTAAAAAGCATTAATCATCAGATCTTCCCACTCCTACCTACACACCTTCGTCATCGATACTTGATGGAAGTAATGATTTAGCATCCTCAAAACAAACAAACTTTTCCTCCTCAATTCTTTTCGGGTTTTAATATTTATGATAACTTCAAATATTTCAACCAGTGTTTCTTTGCACACAACTCAAATGTTTCTTCAAGTGTAGTTGAGGAATGCTGGACATTAATTCCGATTCGTTCAGGAATAAATACTTACGATGGAAATATCTCAAATGAGATCACGCCTGTGTTCAATCATAAGCATCATGTTTGCTTCCTGAGCAAACTCCTTGCCATAAGAATCCTGTGATGACTTGGGTTTTTTCAAACCATCACTGAGGCAATTTGCGGTAGCCAAGGTTATCACCTGACGTTGCGATGACATGGAAACTACGGGAAAACCTTCCCAACTCCTGGCTCAAATTGAAAGTTGGACATGTTTTCCTGTGGTTTTTATGTCATCGCAACGTCAAATGATGACCTTGGCTACTGCGAATTGCTGATGCCTTCTTCAGATATTTGTGGTTTACCTATGGAAGGTCTTGAACTCAAATTAGAGAAAACCAGAAACCAGATATAAAATATTCATGTTTTCAGAAAACTGATGCAGAGAAACATATTTCCTCCAAAGCGAGCTCGACGGAAAAGCGTTTCATGATTTAAAAAAAAAAACACCGAAATTTCAAATTCAACACTAACTGTCGAAGATATAGCATGAAATTACACATAGTGTGACAAACGAATGAAAAAGCATTGTTTTATACATTTCAGATTGGTTAACAAGCTACAACCCGATATGGTTAAGAAAATTAACGTAACAACGATGGCATTCAAATGTATGGAGAATATCAACGCTTTCTTGGAGGCTGCCAAACAATTGGGCGTTCCTCCTCAAGAAACGTTCCAGACAGTCGATCTTTGGGAAAGGCAGAATTTGAATTCAGTTGTAATATGTCTACAGTCACTAGGGAGGAAGGTGAGCTATTAGAATATGTATAAAATAATGTTTGCTAAATATTCCACTCTTGTTTTCTAGAACCAAACAGAATAATAATAATAAACTATAACTAACGATAATGAACATAAATAGTATAACAATTATAACAAATACTGTCTTTAGGTTAATCGATGTACATTCATTGTTCCAGATTTTTTTGTGATTTTCTCTCGTTTTCATAAAATGAACATATGAATACTATTTCAATATACTTACGTGTAGTGAGGACAAAGCAGATGATTTGCCCCAAAATGACACTATCAGAGAGCCTAAAAGAGAAACTTACTAGCTTGTCAGTGACAATTTGTATTGGAAAAGGTTTAGAGAAGAGAAATAAAGGTATATAAAAAAATATCAAATTTTCACTCATCTTTGGACGTTTCGGGAATGAATTTGTTCCAGTTTTCAACATAAAAAATTGTTATTTGAATAGAAAATTCGTATTTGTCTTGAAACTTTTCAGTTCTCAGTGACAATTGAAGACGTTAGCAATCAAATGAGTTGCTGGATTTTTTCATTAATTAATCTTGAATTTACCAATTTACCAAGCAATGCTATTGCTTCCTGTTCAGTTGATATAGATAGAACATGGTATTCACTTCTGAAATCTGAGAATGAAAATGGTGAATTCAAGATTAATTAATGAAACTTGTAACTCATTTGATTGCCAACGTCACCAATTGTCACTGAGAACTGAAAAGTTTCAAGCCAAATACGAACTTGATATACAAATAAACATTTTTGTGTTAAAAATGAGAGCAGATTCGTTCCCGAAACGTCCAAAGATAAGTGAAAATATGATATTTTTTCTATATACCTTTATTTCTCTTCTCCAAACCTTTTTCATTACAAATTGTCACTGGCAAGCTAGTGAATTTTTCTTTTCGGCTCTCTGATAGGGACATTCTTTGAACGCAGTGACATTTTGGGGGTAATCATCTGATTTGTCCTTACAACACGTACGAAAATCCCAAAAACATCTGAAATAATTATAACAAAACTACATCAGAATACTACATGGACTCATAGTGGGATAATGGAAAGTTATTTTGTTTTCTAGGCCAATAAATATGGGCAACCCCAAATTGGACCAAAAGAAGCCGCAAAGAATGAAAGAATATTCTCCGAGGAAACTCTCAAGGCTGGACAAACCATAATTGGTCTTCAAATGGGAAGCAACAAAGGCGCGAACCAATCTGGAATCAACTTCGGAAACACAAGACATATGTAAACTTTCATCGATTATTATTATTGTTATACGAAAACCGACGTTACCAGTCAAATGCAGCGAATTGGTTGTGCTAGATAGTTTCTCTCAAGACGAGTCAGACGCACATAAATCATCCATCATTTCTTGTTTGAGCTCTCTACTAATTTTTTCTATATGGTGACAAATACATTTCAATTCGATATTCTGCATCTGGTTGGTTTATAATTGAGATAGTTTCATTGATGGTGACATTATTCGGATCAAATTACGATAAACCCAATCGAACCTAGTGTTTGAATTGACTGCTATGAGTGTATACCTATCTACAATGAATGAATCGATTGCTGTGAGGTAGGTAGGTACAACTCCGAATCTATGTAGTATTCAAGCAGAACAACAATATTTTCAATGCACCATCTCTTAGCTATCATTATTCAAATCGATATTTGATTTATATTTCATTAAAGAAATGAGTTATTTCTAGTAGGACCAACAAAACTTGTTAGGTTGAAAAATGTAATTTTTATTTCAAAAAAGTATTCAGTATTTGATATTATTGAACATTCCTGTTGAGTTAGCGAATTTATGGTGATAAATTTATATTTCAGTATGTTGAGTGTTTTTTTTTTTATATTCCGATCAATTTTCCGATACGCAGAAACACGATATGAAGATGATACTGCATCTGTTTGCTGATTTATTTCGGTAAACTAACCATGTGTCAGTTTAGCACATGCCACTCGTTACGATTATCTGGATAGGGATTAGAATAACTCTTTATTTACGTATAAAACAATTAATGATATTTCTTTTTACCTATAGAAACAGTACTGTATCCACAGGGCGATTGAATTCAAGTAATAATATTCATACATCACTCATTAATTTTTTGTTTCGTGTCCAACGTCAAAGTCATTTTCTATTCACAACTGTCAATTATACAATTTCAGTTCCTTTTAGTACTGACGACAAACTGATGTTCGTGAGACTGACATAATATTCGATATAATCTTTTTATATAATATAATATGAACTCGAGATATAAAGAAATTGATAAATTAACAATAAATGAAATTATCATGAAGCAAACAAACATCACAATCTCGTGTAGAACAGCAGATAGGGCGTCGACGAGGAGTTTGGCTTGGAGCCCAACAAGTCCACGAACTCCTTTGTGGAGATGGGTCTGATGTTTTCGTCGTTGCACTCCAGCCACGTGTCTTCGCCCTCGAAGGAGGAGGAGAGGATCTTTTCGAGCTGCCTTTTTTCTTCCACGGAGTTATCGTTGGCGTTTCGCAGAAGAACGTTTTTGTACATGTGCATTTCGCAACAATCGATGCTTCCGCACGGAAAGTTGAAGTCGGCGATGTAGTGGCCCGAGGCCATGGTGCAGCCCAAGTGCATGATGACGCAGCACAGTTTGTAACGGTGCGTGTCAACAGCTCGGTTTTAACCATCTTGCAGCATTTTACACAAAAACAGCGCAAATCTATATAGAGGGGTAGGCAGGTAGGTGTTCACTTTCTGGGTGCCGGACGTCGTCGTTGAGAACCTTCCCAATTGTAGAATCATAATCATCGGGAGTTTTTCGAATGATACCTCTCTGCTGGCGTCGTTGAAACTCAAAAAGGGCTCGCATGAATATTGGTTATTGTCACATAATTCCTCCGTCGTTATGCATGCTTTGCGGAAGATGTCGTAGACGTCGGTCAGTTCTACAACATAGTCCTTCATGGGAACCGGCACCTGGATGTCAAAGAATGGTACTTTGCATACTGTTACGCATTGGCAATTCAAACATTTGGTGCGCCTTGATGTTATGCAAGGAAATTGTGTCCTATTTTTCTATTGATAGATCTTCTATGATATGCATCAACATCGTCGGACTCCCCTCTTTCTGTGAAATCTCCATCATTCATATGATCCACTGGAATAGCCTCTCTAGCAGTTTCGATCTTCTTGTAGCAACTCCTATTCCACATTCTCAAAGAATTCACTGGGCCTGTCGATTTCTTCATGTTGTCTTCTTGTTATCTTCTTTATGTTATCCTTATCAGAGCCAGTTTCTTCTGGCTCTTCAGTAAATTTAAAGAAGTTCTACAAATTCTCCAAATTCTTTCAACCCGTTGACAGGAATCGTATAGTACCTACCATGATTTTTTGTTTTACATGTTGAGTCCCATATTGTTTGGTATGTTTATAAAAATGTTTTGTTCTCATTATCGTCATATCATGTTTGGGTACCATTGTCTGATGATGGCCGTAGTGCCGAAACCGGATACTTTTTAATGAAGGTTTTATATAAAGTGTGATCGACCGACTATGTGTTGCTTCATTAGGTTTTTTATTTCGAAATTACTTTGGACCACTATGAGATATGGACGCTTTTCATATATTAGAGATAGAGACAAACAGATCAGACGTTATATCTGCGTTCGACACTATAGGATCAGCCTATTTCGACGGGGTAAGCGTTGTTGTATATATAGGTAGGTAGTTCAAGATCAGTAGAGCTCTGACTAATCCTCCCCTTGTACAGGAAGTGGATTAGCAAAAATTATCTGAAATTACAAAAGGAAGCAACCCTCGAAGCAACCTATTATGAATGCTGAGAAATAATAGGAATACATTTTTTTTTTCTATTTTATAACAATTTTCCATTATAAGTTACAGGCTACGCTTTACAGATAGCATGTCTTATTCGTTTATAATGATTAATTAAAAAAAATAAACGATTACGATCAGAATGTTTTTGACCCCATGGAATTCAATTTCCTAGTCCAGGTCACAGATGGCCCAATTCATCGGTAGTAATAATCAATCGAAAATCAATGAACTATTGAAAATAAGACAGATCCTTAGTGGTTCTAGACCACCTCCACTTCCAATTACGAGAAGAACGTCAACATCGATAAACGCGTAAAAATCTGCCTCTCTTAGTCCGATCACAGATGAAACCCCTGATTTGTTTATGATAATCAAATAATATCTACACAACAATAAACGAATAAAGATTGCCTAAAGTTATATGAAGTTTAAGTACAACTGATGGGACGAAGAATGGGCATTATAGCATCAAAATCGGCATTTCTTACCCCTGGTTATACCCGAAATACCCAATTTATTCGTAATAAATGATTGATTATTGATAGTAAAACGAATTAGCGGCACACGAGACGATGTAGACTTCGTTTTAGAAGCAATTACAGAGAGAATGCAAATTGCCCCATTGAATTCAGTGATGGAATTGCTAACTTTCCTGGACTAATATGGATCCCAAAGTCCCTAGTGGCTACTGAAGATAAGCCACGGAGAAGAAGTATTCAATGTTCCTTACCAATATATTAGATCATATTACCTACATATATCTATTCCATCTATGATGGAATCCACCTATATTTCACGAAATTTTGCAATTAAAAACGGAATTAATATGTTGATAACGACGTAATATATATAGAGATGATCCAGCCGAAAGGGAAAGAGAAAACGCTGATTGATGATCAGCATGATCAAAGAGTTATTCGAAAATATGTAACGGATAGAGAATAAAGAGATGATTCATCATTGAACAACGCAGGCCATAACTATTTTTTTAAGTAACATTATGTATAGGTTCAGATGTAGAAATGCATGACTTTCGATGATTTCTCAACCATGTATTCGAGTATTCGAACCGTGTACCTAATTATGATGCTGATTCATAATAACCAATTGGAGGCCGTATCAAAAGAGCGTCTGCATACATAGACATATGTGTCATGGAGCACTTCTTCTAAGTATCCAAATCTAGTCATATGTTTCAAGTGAAAGTGAGACTGGTCTCACTCATGCAATAATTTGGTTGATGATTCATTATAGGGTTTTTCATCCTTACATCATCTGATATAAACATTCGCTATCAACATTCAAACGCGTAAAATCAGAATGAACAATGATCGTCATTTTCTTAGTGTTTTTTTATGGTCATCAATTTTTACGACTACCGTTTTGTACAGTTATCACCATAACTTTTTCATTTATTTATTTATTTATTCATTCATTCATTCATTCATTCATTCATTCATTCATTTACTCATTCATTCATTCATTCATTCATTCATTCATTCATTCATTCATTCATTCATTCATTCATTCATTCATTCATTCATTCATTCATTCATTCATTCATTCATTCACTCATTCATTCATTCATTCATTCATACATTCATTCATGCATTCATTCATTCATTCATTCATTCATTCATTCATTCATTCATTCATTCATTCGTTCATTCATTTATCTATTTATTCATTTATATACCTATTTATTTATTCATACATTTCTCAACAGAAACCATTTACAGAGTTAGAGTAATCACAAAAACAAGATGATATAAACGATATGTTCCAACTACTGAAATTGACAATAATATGATATTATTGAATCATGGCACAATTCAGTTCAGGAAGATCTCACGTATAGTTTTCACATTTGTTTTGAATGAATCAAGCTGGTCATTGAATTTGTTGCATGTATTAGACAAACTGTTCTACAGGAAGTCAACCGAGGAATGAATATACTGATATTTTCTAGAAGGACACAATCATTGATCATAGTATTAATTAAATTATATGTGGAAATAGTAGCAGAACATTCTCGGCGGACACCCAGACTATTAACCCTATGCCTCTGGAGTAATAGTTCGTGCGCAGTACCCATTGCAGGATACACGACGCCATTATATTTAAACCAGAGGTACTTCAGAAAACCTCTGTACAGATTCCACTAAATCAATATGTACCAGGTATATTGGCGACCAAAATATGGAAGCATATTCTAATTTAGACCCTACATATGTGTGGAAGAGAGTTTTTAACATTGAAACTTGCTGAAAATCTCTACTATTTCGAATCAGAAAAGCATAGAGTCGATTTGCTACAGATACCATATATTCTCTATGTGTGGAGTGAAAGTGAGTTTGCCGTCGAAAGTTACTCCTAGATCATTCAGCACAATAGGACTTTTCAGAGTCGTATTGTTGATTGAGTATGGATATGATGTGGGTAATAAGGATTTGAAGGTATAGGAAATAACATACTTACTTAGCACTTATCAGAATTAAGGGGTAGTTTGTTTTCATTGCACCACCGTACTAGATTCTCTAGACTATTTGATAATCGACGGCAGTCTTGAATGCTGGTTATCTCACGAAATAATCTCATATCGTCAGCAAATAAGAGATATTCAACCTCAATAAAGTCTATATTATATTATAAGGGGTCCCAAGTTGCTTCCCTGAGGAACACCAGAGGAGGCAGCTGAATACCCCCACAGACGTATAAAGCCAACGAAAGCAACATATTAGATCAAATTTGGCAAGTTTATTAAAAAGCGAACAGTAATCAAGTTTGTCGGAGGCTTCAGAAAAGTCGGTGTATATAATGTCAGTTTGATTTTGCCTATCCAGCCAGAGTTCCAGCTATGAATTGTGTGACATTCACGAGATTCGAAACAGTGGTGAAATTAAGGTTACTTACATGATTGTACAGCCTATCGTAGATAATTAATTTATCAACATTATGTAATCTTTGAAATGTATATTATATTTTCAACAATCAGAATATCGGAAATTGACTATTGCATATATTTTTTTTTTGTTGGAAATTTGGTAAGGCCACCAAACAACGAGGGTTACTTTACCAAAACCAACAAAAATCATTTTGAATCAATCTATACCCTCCTATAATTGGTGACTTCCTATCATGAAATGATTTCAAAAATGATATTGAACTGTGAAATAAAACTATGATTCCTGTTAATGTGACATCTGTCTAATTATGTGACGCACATGCGCCAATGTATCTTCCGGTTAAGTCCAGGCTAGAGAAGCCAGTCTTCAATCACGCTTGCCCTAGTCTAGTCATGTATATAGTTTCATCATTCAATATAGTTCATGCTGGTAATCACCATCAATAAAAGTACGAGAAATAATAAAAGGTGTTTTATTGAAGTAGTAAATCATCACAAATGGCGACGAGGAGTTAAATAAGTGCGGGACGAGAACGTATTTAAGTTTGATAATCAAAATCGTGAAAACGTGTTTGCCGGTTGAGCAGTGTGCGACGTGCAACGCAACAAAATGGCTTCCTCATCGGCACCGAAATTTTATGAATTCAAATTCCGACGTAGATGATTGGGAAATATACGCGGAGAGACTAAATCAAACAAAGTGGAAGACAATAAAATTAAAACCGCAGTGCTGTTGAGTTCCGTGAGCCAATCGACTTTTAAATTATTAAAAGACTTGACATTTCCGGCGAATCCGCAAGACCAAACTTTTGAACAGTTAAATGAACTATTGAAAAAACAGTTCTCCATAGTAAAAAGTGTATGGAGGGAAAGAAGAAAATTCTTCGAGATGAAACAAGATGACCTTGGAGTGGCAGAATGGTACGCTAAAGTGCGAGGAGCCGCTACATTTTGCAAATTTGGTAATGTTCTGGTGTCTGTACTAAAGGACAAATTTGTCACCGGATTATTGTCTCCGGGTAAAGTACTAGACCGAATCTGTGAGGAGGACGAGACAAGGAGCCTGGAGGAGCTGTTCAACCTTGCTCAGAAAACCGAAAATTGGGCAGAGGTGAGGTATGTTTCAAATTTCCCGCCATCGAAAGGCAGCAGTTTCCAAAGAGGGCGTGGACAATCGGCTTTCAGAACCGAAAACGGCCGAGCAGAATATGATTCCACCAAT